AATAAAGCATAAAAGTGGGTGAGCGAATTTACCCGCAATGAGCGAAATAACCCCGAAACCAAAAAATTATTTTTTAATGGTAATATTTTTTTGGCCAACAAATTTTTTTTTTGTCAAATTTTCGTTAAAAATAATTAATTAACGAATTATTAAGTATGACATTATGTTATTAATAATTATTTATGACATTAATTATTTATTAAGTTAATTATTTGTCAAATTTAAAATAAAATAAAATATCTAATAAAATCAAATTTTTCAAATGTTTCCGCGCTGCGCTGATGGCTCAGCTCTGGACTTAAGTTCGCTCAACGCCACAGGGAGGGCGAACATCATAACTGTTTCTCGCAGTTGAGGTGCCATTAGATTGGTATATAAGCAGTGATCGAAAATTTTTTTCTTGTCGAAATTTTTTTCTGCCCGATGTCTCTCCTTTATTGGATTTGAGACAAATTCTTTTTTGGAAGAAATGGTTTCACTAATATTTTGATGACCATTTTTTTATTTTAATTTAAATATTAAAAATAAAATAATAATAATAACTATTAAAAAATAATAAAAATAAATTTTTTTAAAATTATTATTAAAATTTTTAATATTGGATATTGGACTTACTAAATTACTAAATAAATAATATTAAAATAATTTTTGCAACATCGTAAACGACGTAGTAAACGACGTAGTTTGCTACTATGTCGTTTTCTACGTCGTTTACTACGTCGCAAACTACTTAGAATACGACGTCGTAAACGAGGTCGGAATTTTCAACTGGGTAGAAACCATATCGGAAACTATATGGGAAAATACATCTTTGCCTGTTCCAATTTCCAACATCGATTCCTGTATAGTTTCCGATATAGCATCCCATATGGTTCCCGATATAGTTTCCTATATGCATTTAGATAACGTTTCAGATGTAGGCTACAATCTATGTTCCGATGTCGGAATTTTCGATAGGGTACGATTAACCCTTACCACAGCCTTACAGCAAAATACTGTGCTATGTGGGTATAGTGATGCCTACTGTTTTAAAATCGAGTGGAAGGCCAAAAAATTTTACACTGACTACTGTCATCAGACTTTCTAAGTGAAAAAGAGAAAAACAGACCACACGCTGTAAAAAAAAGAGAAAACTCGCCTTTATAAACTTGAATTTAGAATTTAAAATTTAAGAAATACTGTCACCCAAGTAGCACGTAATATTACAGTAATATTAAAATGTCCGCCTCATGGTAATACTACAGTAACATTAAAATGTCCGCCTCATGGTAATATTAGTGTAATATTACACGTTTATTTGAAATACATAATAATTTCAAAGTTTTTTATGATAAAACACAAAAAGATAAGAATTAATCAGTCAAGTATTTTTAAGTGTTTTTTAAAATTTTTTGTAATATTACTGTAATATTACCGGTTAATATTGCTGTAATATTACCTGCTATTTGGGCATAGATTTTTAAATCAGAACTGGTCCAAAAATCCATGACAGGATCGTATAAAATAAAAGTGAAAGATGGAATTTCCTTCAAAATCTACACAATATAATGAAGAAAAATAACTGCTATAATTGTGGAGTTTGTGAAGGAAAATATTTATTCATATTCATGCCTGGTTTGGTCGCATCTAGTATGCATAAGTCGCAAAACGGGACCTAAAACAAAATATTGCGGTTTTGTTCATTTTATTCAGAAAAATGAAGTATTATCAATGTTTCATAAAAGTTTTAAAGACAAGAGGTAAAATTCCTGTAGCCTACTATGTGAAAAAAAAATTGATCAGATCGGGCTTTAACTTGCACATAGCTTAGTCCTAGGGGTGAGTAATCAATCAAGAAGTACTGTTAGGTTCTTTCAAAAACTGTAGGAGTGGGAGGGGGTTGAATTTTTGAAGACTTGTAACTTTTAAACAGAAAGATGAAAAAAATTTGACCTATGTTTTCGAAAGGTTTTTTCCTGCTCTTTCAAATGGTGCAAAAAATTTTCCAAAAAATTCAAAATTTGACCCTTTTTTTGAAAATCAAAAATTTATTTGACTTTTTTTTAAGTTCGGTCTTTTTAGGGTTCCGTACCCGAAGGTGGAACCCTATTAATGAGACTAGTGAAGCAAGGCATGTACCCCCCCCCCTAGCGGCCACACGAATTTATCTAGAAGGCTGAAATTTGGTACAGATATGTATTTTTACGTGAAAATTACAGGAAAAATATAGCGAGCACGATTGGAATTGATGATCATATTGTTTTTAAGGAAAACTCATATTTTTAGAAAAAATCATTGATTTTTCGAATAAAAAAAGAAGAAAATTTTATCTCAAGGGATTCAAATTTATACATTTTTACGTATTTTTACGTGTAGATTCCAAAAAAATTATAGTGAGCATGATTGGAGTTGATAACCATAGCGTTTTCAAGGAAAAACTGATAATTTTCAATATATGTGACTATGTTTCTATCTATGTGTTTTCATGCTCACATTACAGGAAAAATTAAGCAAAATTGGAATTTTTCCACCTGCCTTCACACTTTAACTCCCTTAAATTTTAGGTTTAAGGGTACGGAACCCTCGGTTTTAATGGGAGTGTAACTCGCACTTGTCCGATTTTTTTTATTAATTTATTTTTTTTTTTGAAAGTTAAAACTGTTTATTTTCACCACAAAAAATATTGAAATGTCCTTTTTTGTTATTTTTGAGATATTAATTAATTAATTAATTAATATTAATAAAAAATGAAATATTTTACAAATAAATAAAGTTATTGCAATTCTGAAACTACCAATTGAAAGCTGACGTAATTTCGCATTCAACAAGTCCTATATGAACTATTTTGGATTAGAGGATTTTTTATAAACAATTGCCATGTTAGCCAATTGCTTATTAACAATTCACTAATCCAAAGTACTTCATATAGGGCTCGTTGGATGCGGAATTATGTCAACTTTCATTTAGTAACATCAGAATTACGATAACTTTATTTGTTTATAAAATATATCATTTTTTATTAACATTAATTAATGTATTAATAAATCGCCCATGCTTAGACATATGGAAATATTTGCAATATTAAAATTGGAAACAGGACTGCGGTCCAAACAATGACTATTGACGTTAAAAATTGTTTAAAAAATAATTTGTTTAAACAAATTGTTATAAATAAATGAAAAAAATTGATGAATTTTAAAAATCTAACAATGCAATTCGATTCTACGGGAAAAATTACTAAAGGAACTTGTATGACGTTTTCAAAATTTTCACTCTATTTGTTATAAATTATTTATAAACAAAAAATGCACTGTGGTTAACGTTAACGTTGAAAATTGTTAAAAAAAATATTTTGTTTACACAAATTGTTTTAAACAAATGAAAAAATTTGATGAAAATTTTTCAAATTTTTTTTTGGAAAGCTTAAAACTCTCAGCACATAAAATATGGAAATGTCCTTTTTCGTTGCCATCGAGATATTTATTAATTAATTAATTAATGTTAATAAAAAATCATATATTTTATAAACAAATAAAGTTATCGTAATTCTGATGTTACTAAATGAAAGTTGACATAATTCCGCATCCAACGAGCCCTATATGAAGTATTTTGGATTAGTGGATTGTTAATAAGCAATTGGCTAACATGGCAATTGTTTATAAAAGATCCTCTAATCCAAAATAGTTCATATAGGGCTTGTTGGATGTGGAAATACGTCAGCTTTTAATTGGTAGCTTTAGAATTGCAATAAATTTATTTATGTGTAAAATATTTCATTTTTTATTAACATTAATTAATTAATTAATATCTCGAACACACGGAGCCTGGTGTGCGAAAATAACAAAAAAGGACATTTCAATATTTTTTGTGGTGAAAATAAACATTTTTTACTTTAAAAAAAAAAATTAATAAAAAAAAGACCGAACTTAAAAATAAGTCAAAAAAATTTTTCATTTTCAAAAAAAGGGTTAAATTTTGAATTTTTTGAAAAATTTTTTGCACCATTTGAAAGAGCAGGAAAAAACCTTTCGAAAACATGTAGGACAAATTTTTTTTGTTCTTTCTGTTTAAAAGTTACAAGTCTTCAAAAATTCACTGTTTAAATTTTTCAAAAAAATTCAACTCCCTCCCTCTCCAACAATTTTTGAAAAAACCTAACAATACTTCTTGATTAAAGTACTCACCCCTTGGGCTGTGCAAGTTACAGCCCAATCAGATCAACTTTTTTTTCAATTAGTACGCTACAGGAATTTTACCCTACATATACATGGAGAAAGAGATTTTTTAAAATCTTTTAGAAAATAAAAAATTTTAAGACCTTTTATAAAGTAGAAAATCTTAGGCTGTTGAAAATTTAAATGAATATATGAGGCATTTTACTTGTAATGTCCTGAGTTAAAAAATTGATTTCTCGAAAAAATATTTATTTATATTATATTATATTTAATATCTCGAAAACAAAAAAAATGTGCATTCTCAAAATTTATATACAGATCGGGAAAAACCTCAGCTTTCGTTTGCAATTATTTATTTTAAAAAAAACGCACCGATTTTAGTGAAAATAGCAAATTTATGTTTAATTATAGAAAATCAAGGTCAAAATTCAAAAATTTTAAAAAACGAAATTCACCATTGGAAAGAGCATGAAAAAACCTTCAAAAAACATACCTGCCAAAATTTTTTTTATTGCATTTATAGACAGAAAAAATTCAAATAATAGGCGGTGTCAAGGAAAACTGATAAAATTGACCCCCCTCAATCTCCCCCAAAATTTCAAAAAATGTCAAAAATTTTTTTGGGGATATTTTACTATTAGGTAGGACATTAATTTCCCCAAGTTTCACTTTTTTTTCGAGAAATCAATTTTTAACTCAGGACATTACACGTAAAATGCCTATATGTGTAATTTTATTAAGACGTTGTGCAAAATTGTTAAATTTTATATGACGTTTCTTCAAGTTATTGTTAATACATAGATTTCTTAAAATCTATTATATTCTGACGGCAATAAAAATACATACCTGTGCTATGCGTATATTTATTAACATAACATAACCTGTCATTTAAATTGTTACACACTTTCGTGATTTTTGAAAATAAGCGGGCTAAATAGCCAAAATTCTGCATTTATCCCGCTAGCAGGGTAAATAATAATCTATGGACTTTAATCCTCCCGCTAGTGGGCTAAATAATAATATATTGTCACTATTCCACCCGCTAGCGGGCTAAATAGATACAGGGAAAATAAATACCATATTCTATGTTTCATTTTATCCTCACTGGGAAGCATTATAATAAATAGCACTGTAACTTAATTTGTAATATACAATTTCTTATTTTATATTCATATATATTTCAAATAAACTTTGAGTTTTAAATAAACTATGTCTAGTCCCTCCACGGTCATAATATATACTATGATGCTCCTATTGTTACTCCATGGTTACTCCTGTCTCTAGTCTTCTTGGACCGTACCATAAGGGTGAAATCACACGGGCGTAAAGCAGAAAATCATGAAAGTGAGAGGGATAATGATATATGTCTGCATCTCTTGCACTTATGATTCTCTGCTTTTGATTGTGTCCACAATAGAACAAAAACATGAAAGTAAACGTAACGTATCCATTAAAAATACATTGTGACGTTACGTATACGTTCATGTTTCTGGTCTATTCTGGACAGGCCCATAAAGGCCTTTCTCCAATAGGAACCTAAACTTTTGCGTTGCGTGACTGACGCGTTGATTTTAGCATTGGTTGCCAATAGCAACCGACGCAATGCATACGCAACGCAAGAGTTTAGGATCCTATTGGAGAAAGGCCTTAATATGGTCCTAAATGTTTGCGTTGCGTGACTGACGCATTTGTTCGCAAGCGCAGTGACGTCATCGAAACATTGATACCAATCGCGAGCAGAAAGTTTGGTTTATGATTTTAGGACACTGAACTTTTTAATTAAAAAATATTTTGTTCATTAATTTTTTTTTAATTCAATTAAAAGTATTGAAAGCAGTCGAGAAACATGTACATTAAAAATTGTACCAGAGAGGAATTGAGAGTAAGCACGTAATGCAAATCGCGCTTTTGTGGGGGTTGGCCAATGGATGTCTCTGCCATTGGTCAATACCCATGTGCTCTCTCACAAGTGTAGATGTTGCTTGGCGTGTAGCATATATACACGATCCAACTCTCACTTCCCCATGGTCGTATAAGGCAGGTTTCCCACTACGCAGCCTTACTGATGAGTCCAGTAGTGGGGACCGGGACGAAACGACTAGTGGCTTCCAAGCCACGCTTATGGGTAACAACACAGTTGTTTCCATACTTTTCTATTAAAGTCTGCCCCCTCGCGGTCAAAATATCGAAGCTTAGGTGGTTACCTATATATATTCCTGAAATCGGTGAGGCTGCACACATACGCATAATGTAATGGCTAAGCCGAATGACGTTCGGAATTGATCGGGCGGGCTCGTGTATCTTTGCGTGAATTAGAGAAACAAACTGAAAACGAACCGTGCGGGCCTCATCCAATGTTTTGACTTTTTTTCAGACAAAGTATATGAGCCGGTTTTTGAAACAATTCACTAACCGATAATATTTTTAAGGTTAAATTTAGAAATTTTAATTTAAATTAGTAATTAAAATACAATTTTAATTTAAATTAGTAATTAAAATACAATTTTAATTTATTATTTAAATTTTTATAAAATTTAGAATTCTAAATGTTCTCTCTTCGAATGCATAGTTGAATATAAGTACGAAATTCGTTTTCAATAAATCTTATCATAATTATTTTATAATAAGTAAAAAAAATTTCGATATTACAATATTATCTTTATTTATTTAATTCAGTTAAATCATAGATTAGTAATGTGAAATAATGTGCTTTTGTCAAAGTCATATTAAAAGAAAAATTAAATTCTTTTTATTATTTTGCCGTTAAAATTTTTGAAAAATATTTTTTGTAATATTATAATAAAATTTTAGAATTTAAAAATTTTACCTAATACTGACAACAATGTTTATAATTTAATTCTTCAGAATGTTCTCATTTTATTTAAAATTGAATCAATGTTTTATGTCTATTTAATAGTTTATAAAAAAATATAATTTTTTTTATATTATACTTTTAAATTTTCGATTTGTAAATGCTTACACATTATAAGTAGCTTACATTTTTTAAAATATTAAATTTAAAAACATTTTGTCAAGAGATTAAATGTTTTAACTTAAAATAAATAAATAAAATAATCAATTTTAAAAAATATTTTATAGGTTTTTAAATCAGAAAAATTGTTTTTGTAAATTAATTAATTATTTTTTCTTTGGGCTTGTCCAAGTAAAAAATGATTTAATTTTAAATAAAATGAGAATATTCTTAAAATTTAAATTGTAAACATTGTTGTCAATACCTATTAAAATTACCCACAATTTAATACATTATTAATTTGTATAGAATATTCTATGGTGTTTAGTTTCACATTATTATTTATGTTTCACTAAATTAAATAAATAAAGATAATATTTATAAAAATGATGTCAGTTTTTTTTACTTTTCAATAGTGTTATCAAAAAAATTTGTTTTTCATTTTTTATTAAAAAAGTAACAATTTTTTATAAACAAATTAAATTTTTTTTAATTTGTATATGATTTTTTTAAAACATACCTGGAAATAAGAAGATTTAGTGAAGAAATTTAGAGTCGGTCAATAAGTTTTATATTTTTATGTATTTAAAAAAAACACCACTTGCAGCATTGTGCACATTTTTGAATAGTAAAAAAAATTGATAAATTGTTAAAAATTATTTAAAGAAATTTTTTTTGAAACCTGAAATTTTATTTCACTATGAAAAATGAAAGAAAATTTTTTAACAATAATTTAACAATTTTTTTTACTTTTCAGAAATATGCACAATGCTGCGCGCAGTGTTTAAATGTTTATTTAAACCTATAATCTTAGTTATTTCCAGTATTTCTTAGTATTTTCAGGTATGTTTAAAATTTTTTTTTAAAAATCATATTCCAATTTAAAAAAACTTAATTTGTTTATAAATTTTTTTTATATTTTAATAAAAAATGAAAAAAAATTTCGTTAACATTATTGAAAAGTAAAAAATAAACTGGAACTTTTCTTCTCTTGGCAAAAATTGAAAAAATCCAGTTTTTTGTCTACATTTACAAAACTGAAATTTTGAAAATTTATAACTCGAAAATTTGCATAAAGAAAGTATCTTTTTTTCACTACAGAACACGAAAAAATTAAATTTGGCTGAATTTAAAGGGTCGACTGAAATCTCACGTGAAATCACCCATACGTTTAAGAAAAACATTTTTTAATTAAAAATTTAAAATAATTATGATAAGATTTATTGAAAACGAATTTCGTACTTATTCAACTATGCATTCGAAGAGAGAACATTTAGAATTCTAAATTTTATAAAAATTTAAAATGAAATTTAAATAATAAATTAAAATTGTATTTTAATTACTAATTTAAATTAAAATTTCTAAATTTAACCTTAAAAATATTATCGGTTAGTAAATAGTTTCAAAAACCGGCTCATATACTTTATCTGAAAAAAAGTCAAAACATTGGATGAGGCCCGCACGGTTCGTTTTCAGTTTGTTTCTCTAATTCACGCAGAGATACACGAGCCCGCCCGATCAATTCCGAACGTCATTCGGCTTAGCCATTACATTATGCGTATGTGTGTAGCCTCACCGATTTAAGGAATATATATAGCTAACCACCTATGCTTCGATATTTTGACCGCGAGGGGGCAGACTTTAATAGAAAAGCGCGATTTGCATTACGTGCTTACTCTCAATTCCTCTCTGATTGTACATAAACCAAAAATAAACATAAACCAAACTTTTTGTTCGCGATTGGTATCAATGCTTTGATGGCGTCACTGCGCTTGCGAACCAACGCGTCATTCACGCAACGCAAACATTTAGGAACCTATTGGAGAAAGGCCTTAAGTCGGTTCTACAATGGGCACGTTTGACGTGAACGTATACGTCCGTGCTGACGTCACCCATTTGCAGAACATTGTGACGTCGCACGTTCACGTCCGACGCGCTTATTATAGAACCAACTTAAGGCGTCGTCCCATGATGGAGCATTGACACGAGTAACTTTACACGATGCATGTTAAAATGCAGTATCTTTTTTAATAATGTAGATTTTATTGTTTGAATCAAATTCAAATTAATAGTTATTTTCAATTTACTTTGAGAATTTAAAATATTCCTAGAAAAGTAACTAGAGCCAGCGGCTGCCGTCACCACTTGTGGCCTACACATTTTTATCCTTCTAACATACGTGTTGTCATAGAAACATGTGCGTTAAAAGAGGACAAAAAAAGTGTTGGCATATCTGGCCACAAGTGTACATACCGACACTTTGCTGATCATGAGCACATGCGTAGAAGCAAAATAGTCTGTGGGCGGGGCCCTTTGGAAATATGGTTATTGTGCTAACTTCACATTTATGGTATTTCCGCCTGTCAATTTTGGCGTCTGGCAATTTTCCGCTTTTTGCACACTTAGTTTGTAGAATTTCTTTGTTTAAATATTTTCCTTTGATAAACTCATTCATTTTCTTGAGCAAGAGAACTTATTAAAACATGTCGAGTGAAAGTGTCAAAACAGTAAGTATTTGTAATATACATCCGAGTCGGCTTTTTGTAATTCTAAACTCCGGGTGTCAAATATTGTGTCGTATATTTTTTTATTATTGATCCGAATTCTTATATATCTAAAATAAATACTATTTCTCAACTCTATATGCATATATATCACATGGACAATAAAATGACAGAATAACCTATAAAATTGTTTAACAACTTGTGATCAAAATTTTTCTTGTTTTGAAAATTTAATTATTTTTTTGGTTAATATTAATTTTATTACTTTACTTTATCATGTACTGTTTAATCGTAATTAAAATACCTTAATTACTTAATTGTTATTTTAATTATTTTAATATTCTTTAAATTTGTTTATCCGAAGATTTTTACATTTTTATTAATGTTTTCTTTACATTTTTGCAATGTACATAGACCCCGCCCAAAGGTTGAAATTGCCGATGTGGTAAAATTTGCTAAAATTGTGCTTCTAAGTTAAATTCACTTATTTTAAAATTATTTCAACTCATTATTCCCATTTAGTTTGGCTTAATTATTATTTTTTACAGTTTGCGAGTCTTGAAACACCTGGATATGTGGGCTTTGCCAATTTACCGAATCAAGTCCATCGAAAGTCTGTTAAAAAAGGATTTGAATTTACTTTAATGGTAGTCGGTGAATCTGGCCTGGGAAAGTCAACTTTAGTCAATAGTTTATTTCTCACGGACCTATATCCTGAAAGAATAATTCCTGATGCTGTCGGTAAGTTTTCTTTAAAATTATATGACAAGTAAACAAAACGCGAAATAAATTATTAAATTATTATTTTATTCTTTAAATTTTCCTGGATTAATTTGTAATTCATTTTTAAATATTTACTATTGTATGGAGACATCAATTTGCAATTTGTGAAAGCATTAAAAAGATCATTTAGGTTCAATGTAAGCATAATTAAGTTTTTGAGAATATGTAATTAATTAAAAAATTCCTAACTAACTTAATTTTCAAAGAATTTTGTTATAATTATTGAAAATAAATAAATAGATTCTTAATTTTAATTAAAATTTGTTTAAATAATTTAGAAGGTATATAGAAGATAAATAATGTTAGAAGATTATCAGTTAATTTTTTTTTAAACATGATTTTTATTAATAAGTGACTCTACATGAGAGAAGAAATCTTAACTCAAGAGTAAATGAGGTGCCTTCTCTCGTGGAGAGTCACATATGTTAAATTATGTTTGGAAATAATTTTTAAAAATGGATATATCAGCTTCTGAAAAATGCATCTCAAATAATTTTATTTTGAAATAGATGCATTTAAAAATTTTGACATTAATTTAAATGATTTGAAACTAAGAATTTCAAAAGTAATGCAATTTCCAAAGAATTTCTTTAGAATTATTTTATTTTAAAACTGCTATTTTGAAAATAATTTAATTTTTCAAGATAATTAATTACAAAGATATTAAATATTTTAAATTTTGTAAAATTTGATTGCAGATTTTTAAAATATTAAAATCTTTTAAAGAATTTTAATGAAAAAATATGTAAATAATTGGATTGTTTACCTATTAGTAATCATGATTTTTTAATATAAAAAATTGAGATTTAATAATATTATGAGTTACTACGTTAAAACAAATTATTGCTAATTTTGTAAAGCCCGAGGGGGAATTTACTCAGGTAGTCAAGTGTACATTCTTCCTGTAATACTTATGTAATAACGTGTAATACCGTGTAATAATGCGTTATTACAGTGCTGTAATATCTCTGTAATAATTTGTAATACTCTGTAATAACGTGTAATACTTAGTAATAAGGGTAATATGAGGTGTAATACAGGTAGTCAAGTGTACACGTTTTTAACTAGTAAATTCCCCCTCGGTAAAGCCTTTAATTTTTATTCAAAAGTTGCTGAACTCTCTGTATTATTTTTCTTAATAGATTTAATATTAGTGGACATTTTAGATATTTTTTTATTTCAATCATGAAATTTTAAATTTGTTAGATATATTTAATAATTTCAGAAAAAATTTCTCAGATATAAAGCATAATCATAGCATAAAAATAAACTTTTATGAGCATAATAGCATAATTGCAGCGTAACTGCAACTTCTTGGCATGGTCTTTATGAAAAGCATAAAGTTCCTGTCTCTGTCTTAATTTTTATATAATATGAAAAGTAAATAAAACACGAAATGAATTATTAAATTATTTTATAGTTAAAATTTTCCTTGATCGTAATATTTTAAGATAAAAATTGTGTCGCGAACGAAAACTAAAGAATTACATATTTACTATATAGAACTTTAATACAAAGTTTTTTTCTTCTTAGAAAAAACCAATCAAACTGTTAAGTTAGATGCTTCTACAGTTGAAATTGAAGAAAGAGGAGTGAAGCTTCGCTTGACTGTAGTCGATACTCCAGGATATGGAGATGCTATCGATAATACTGATAGTTTTCGAGCAATCATTCAATACATTGATGATCAGTTTGAAAGATTCCTTCGTGATGAGAGTGGCTTAAATAGAAGAAACATTGTCGACAATCGAATACACTGCTGTTTTTACTTCATCTCTCCTTTTGGACATGGGTTTGTTTCATCATTTTCTAACAAATTTCAGTTAGATTTGGATTTTTTCCTATTCAATTTTTTGTTTGCTGCAATAATATGAATTTTTATACATTTTCATTGTAACAGTGAGTTAATACTTCAAGGCTAAATTTTCTTCACCTTAAAAATAAATTAGACCGAATTATTTCAAATCAGGCGAGCTAAACATCGTCTGAGCTGAAAATCAATTTTTTCTCCGAAATGTTGTTTTTCAAAGCTTTTTAAATGACACGTATTTTTTTGGTTGGTTTTTTTACGAAGTTACAATGAATTTAATTTTCCAAGTCGGAATAGTCCTTTATATTGAAATTAGAAAATGAAATCTTTAAAATGTTATAACTTTTTGTCTAATCGGGATATTCACTTTTTTTCTTTCTTGACCTGAAAGATCTTTAACTCAAATTATACTCAAAAGCCCATCTTTTTTGTTCCAATTTTCTTTTAATTGCCTTTATATAATAAAGAAATACAATAGCAATAAAAATTTCTCTATTATAAAGTTGTTACTCTTTAATGTCTCTTGACATTTTTAACTATCTTGCTTTGTTTTCGATATATTTCACAAAATTTAATTTGAATGGTAACAGTATATTTTTGCTATGAACACTTTTTTAACAGTCATTTGTTTATTCGTAGCAAAAATATTATGTTACCATTCAAATTAAGTTTTGCGAAATATATTTTGAATTCAATGATTTTTAGTAAAAAGACCACCATTTTGTTATTTTTGAATATTTTTTAATTTTTTTATCTGATTTTTAAAGACGATCTTTCAGGTCAAAAAATAAAAAATTAAATAAATATCCAGATTAGACAAAATGTTATAATACTTAAAAGATTTTTTTTCTTAATTTTATAATAAACGACGATTCCGTTTTGGAAAATTAAATTCGTTGTAGGAAACAAATTTTTTTTCAGCCAAACAAAAAAATGAGCAATTCTATGTGAGATTGCGGGGTCTAATTGAGCATATAAATTTTTGAAAAAAAAATATTTATTATTTTTCGTGATAGTTGTATTAAAAAATGAGTGCAATTTTTTTTCAATTACTCATAACTTTTTCACTTTTAGTCTTAAAAAAAAAGTTTCTTAATTGTTTTTTGCTCAAAAACTATTAAAATTTAAGAAAAAGAAATTAATTTTGAAAAATTAAAATTTTTGATTTATTTTTTTAAAAAATAAAATTTATTTTTAATTTTTAATCTTGTTATCGAGCTCCGTTTAAGCTGGAAAAAATTTATGAACATTTCTTAAAAGGCAAAGACATGTGCCAAATTTGGCAATATAAAATGAAGTATTTTACAAACAAATAAAATCTTCTATTATATTAAGTTAACAAATTTCGAAAAACGACACCGACCCCGTGACCTCGACACAGTCCTTGAAAAATCTATTTTCAATTATTTTCAAATAAATCAAAATACTTTGCATATATGCTTTTAGAAAATCTTACAAACTATTTTTATGTAACATCTTTTTTCAATTTTAAGATAAATTTTATACAATATTAATAAGATATTAATTTAAAACATAAATTATATATATATAATATACATAAACTACAATAAGTAAACAACAATAAGTACAATTTTAACCGAGCGAGCGAGGAATACATCGCTAGTTAGAATAATTTTAAAAAGACTATTCCAATGTTTATTAAAATCCACATCCAACGACCCCTATATGAACTATTTTGGATGAACAGACTTTAAATTCATAATTAATAATAATAATAATAATAATAATAATTTAAATAATTGAATGAATGAAGATAAATTAATTCTTTTTTTACTTGAAAGATAATTTTGTTCTGTGTCAAACAAGACCTATGCAAATAACATTTAACACTCCAAAGTATGGACAAACTATGATTGAAAATGTGTTACTGCACCCCTCACAGGGTTTGCAATATTTCATATTATAAATTAAACTAAGAACATAAGTTTTTTGTATTCAAACCTTTTTATTTGTTTAGATTAAAGCCACTGGACATTGAATTTATGAAACAATTGCATAATAAAGTGAACATTGTTCCTGTCATTGCGAAAGCTGACGTACTTACTAAAAAAGAAGTTTTGCGTTTAAAGAAACGTGTAATGGAGGAAATTGAAGCAAACGGAATAAAGATTTATCCATTGCCCGATTGCGATAGTGATGAGGATGAAGATTATAAGGAGCAAGTAAGACAATTGAAAGAAGCTGTACCATTCGCTGTGTGCGGTGCAAATACACTTTTAGAAGTCAAAGGCAAGAAAGTTCGTGGTCGCTTGTATCCTTGGGGAGTTGTCGAAGTTGAGAATCCGGACCACTGCGATTTCATTAAACTCCGGACAATGCTTATGTGAGTATCTTTTCTTGTAAGTTACATTTATTTTGTAATGAGAAATTACTATGGTTTTTAAAAAATTGTTTCAGAACTCACATGCAAGATTTACAAGAAGTAACTCAAGAAGTTCACTATGAAAACTATCGAAGTGAAAGATTAGCAAAAGGCGCTCCTGTTCCTCCTCGAAGACAGACGTAAGTTATTAAATAAAAATTTCTGATTCGTTTTTTATCGACAATTTAATTTTAATTGGATTGTATTCTTTACCGATAGCATTGTTGAAAATGAAAAAACGGTCGGAATTTCGGAAAAAGACCGAATCTTGCAGGAGAAGGAAGCAGAATTACGAAGAATGCAGGAAATGCTTGCTGCCATGCAAGCTCAAATGCAGCAACAGCAACCTTAATTTTCCGAAAGAGGCTTTCTCCTTGCCAAGTGCCAATAACTCTTCTTCGCATCGACTTCGAGGCGAGTATGTAATGGGCACAATGCGATTGCGAAAATCGGCGTTATCTCGCAGAAGTCGGTGATAATTTTGTACCTCAGTAATTGTTAAACGACAAAGAAGAAAACGCGCAAACAAACATGACAAGCGATGATTGAAACGACTTGCTAGAGGCTAATGGAAGCTTCTCAACAAACAAAATCAGAAAAGTGCCTTGCAAATTTTATTCTCTTTTCTCGATTAGTGTCGTTTCAATCTTCTGTTCACCATTTGTTTTTTTATTTTATTTTACTTTAACTTTAAGGGCAGAATAATATTTATCATTATGTGTTTTTTGTATACTGACGACAATTTTTTTATCGCAAAGAAGAGACAAACCCGACTTACTTCTTTTTAAAGACTGTAAACAATAGGACCTGGAAGAAGCTTATGCTGAAATAATTAGTTTCTACCAGCGAACCAGGTAGGATTGTAAATAAAAAATTTAACTTCATATTATTAGATTTCTCAGGACTGAGATGCAAAAAAGAAAGCAATTCCAAATGCCTAAATTCTTCCAATTACTTCCAAGTAAGTAATTTTTGTAAGTTTCGTGAATAATGTTATTAAAAATAAGGAATATTTTACATTTTAATGTACTAACACACGAGAGTATATTATATATTTTTGAAAAATCTCGCAAGATAAACTCGCATCAATTTTGTACGCACTATATATTTTGCACAAAATAACCGTGACTAATTATAAACGTTTAATACGAATTTATCATAGTTTGTTTTTATAATACATCATTTTTACATATTTTATATATACATATATAGTCAATATAACTGTGAAGGCAAGTCTGCGTTTTTCTATTTCCATTTTTTACGTATATGATAGGAGAAATACGATAAATCCAAAGAATTATAGACATTATCGATTTTGATGGTCTGATTTCTTTCTTCCTTTAGAAATGTACTTATTCAAATTTTTCAATTTACAACGAATGCATATAATAATCTATTGCAGTTGAGAAGGCGGCAAAACCTGCAGCTCCAACTATTCCAGCTTTTACACCCGCTGAAAAAATCATAATAATTAGCTTCCAAGTTTTCTAAAAATCTTTACTTTCTGATCGCACAAAGTAAAAGGAATTATATTTTTTATTTTAACTTACACTCAGAGTTGAAAAATTCAATTGAAATATTTATGTAAATTTAATTAAATACACTTTAATAGTAAATAACTCTCAAAACTGGAAAGATAATTTAAGTAAATTCGAAAAAATTTAGTTACTTTTTTATTTTTCAAGAAATTTCCAATGTAATTTTATAAATAATAATTAATTTTTTATTAAACGAAAAATAAAATATTTTCAATATCTTCCCAATTTCCAGCATTTAAATAAATTTTCTTTGAAGAGGTACAATTGAAAGAAATTTCACAAAAAATTAGGATATCTGATTTAAAAAAAAACCTCTTAATCCAATGAGACCTCCAGTTACTCCTCCAGCATAAGTGCCATTTTTCCAGTCCGATTTACCTCGATACTGAAATTGAAATAAGGAAATATTATGCGTATATATTATATGTGGATCAAACGTGCGATATTGTTATTGTTTAGTTTTTATTCATGAGTTTTTGTATAATGTGAAATCAATATTTGAAAGGATTAAATATACGTATTTTAAGAATATACTTGCCGATTCAATTGCGCATTCAACCGCTGAAAATACACAACCAACCATTGCGAAATTTTTCGCGTAACCAAGAGTCGTTGTTTTCATCTCGTGAAAAATCTCACGTACAGTCTGTTGTTTCTCAACTGCTGCTACATTGGGATTTACGCTGGATGTAAATAAACCTATCGCAGCTCCCAATCCAAATCCTAAAATTATTTTTTTAAATTTAAAATCATCAGTTGTGTTAGTGTTGGTAAAAATTTTTGATTTTTTGACATTTATGTTGATGTTAAGGGATTAATATACCTTTTCATGTGTCAAAAAATCGATTTTTTTTCATTGCATATATCAAAAGTACATACTTTCTAGAATGTTTTCCCAAAATTTCATCAAAATCGAAACATTAGTACCAAAGTTATGGCTGTTTTAATCCGCAACTTTTCAAAGAAGAGTATATACGCTTGAAACTTTAAAGGCTATTATCTCGGAATCGTGATTTTTGAAAATTACGGTTACGGTGACTGCGATTTTTTTAAAATCGCTAAACCGATCGGGCTGACATTTTCAGGGGTTCTTTATATATACAATAGCTAGTGCGTGAACGAAGAAATTTTAATTTGAACCAAAATTAATATTTTTTTTGGTCAAAAAACCAAATTTTAAAGCCCTAAAATCACGATTTTTGAGGAAAAATCATCGCCATTTCTAGAAAATTTTTTTTTTTTTCAAAATCCATTTGTTCATGCACGAGGTAATATATTATACTAACGAAATTTCCATTGTTTTTTAATTTTAGCTAAACTCTGTTTGACTTATCGCAGTCACCGCAAGCAGCTATCAAAAAAGGTGTTTTATTGCAAGGTCTACAGCTTCCACAAGTATTAATATTTTTTAATAAAAATTTATATACAAGTACATCGAAGTATGTACTTTTAGATAAAATAAACTTTGTTTTAAAAAATTTTTATATAACTACTAACATTTTTTTTTGAAAATTCCTCTTTTTTGACGCGCATAAAGGTATATATAACCCCTTAATTGACTTCAGGAGTACAAAAATGATGATTTTTTTTACAAATATCCGTATGTATGTGACTAACATTGTATTGAAACGAAAAGAATTACAGGCTTAAACTTTTTTTAATTGAGGTTCCGGATCTTAAGCTCGAATTTGCATAACAAATTTTCATCCCTGGAGTGAAACTTTTGAAATTATAGAATATTAAATTTAATAAGTTAATAAATATTTTACTTTAAATAACTAATGTTATTAGATATTAAATTCACTTTATTAGTAAGAATAATTCTATAACAGGGGTAAAATTCCTGTAGCGAACTAAGTGAAAAAAAAGTTGATCGGATCGGGCTGTAACTTGCACATAGTTTAGCCCTAGGGGTGAGTAATTTAACCACGAAGTATTGTTAGGTTTTTTCAAAAACTGTCGAAGAGGGAGGGGGTTGAATTTTTTTTGAAAAATTTAAACAGTGAATTTTTGAAGACTTGTAACTTTTAAACAGAATGAAGAAGAAAAATTTGTCCTATATGTTTTCAAAAGGTTTTTTCCTGCTCTTTCAAATGGTGCAAAAAAATTTTTTAAAATTCGAATTTTGAACCTTTTTTTTTGAAAATTAAACATTTTTTCGAATTTTTTTTTAAGTTCGGTTCTTTTTATTTTTTTATTTATTTATTTTTTTTTTGAAAGCAAAAAATGTGTATTTTCACCACAAAAAATATTGAGATGTCCTTTTTTGTTGTTGTTAATAAACAATTGGCTAACATGGCAATTGTTTATAGAAAATCCTCTAATCTAAAATATTCCGTATAGGGCTCGTTGGATGCGGAATAAAGTCAGCTTTCAATGGGTACCTTCAGGATTGCAAAAACTTTATTTATTTGTGAAATATTTCATTTTTTATTAACATTAATTAATTAATTAATTAATATCTCGAAAATAACAAAAAAAGGACATCTCAATATTTTTTGTGGTGAAAATACACATTTTTTGCTTTCAAAAAAAAAATAAATAAATAAAAAAATAAAAAGGACCGAACTTAAAAATAAATTCGAAAAAATGTTTAATTTTCAAAAAAAGGGTCAAAATTTGAATTTTTAAAAAATTTTTTGCACCATTTGAAAGAGCAGGAAAAAACCTTTCAAAAACATATAGGACAAATTTTTCTTCTTCATTCTGTTTAAAAGTTACAAGTCTTCAAAAATTCACTGTTTAAATTTTTCAAAAAAATTTAACCCCCTCTCTCTCCGACAGTTTTTGAAAAAACCTAACAATACTTCGTAGTTAAATTACTCACCCCTAGGGCTAAACTATTTGCAAGTTACAGCCCGATCCGATCAACTGTTTTTTTCACTTTGTTCGCCACAGGAATTTTACCCCAACAATATTATCAAGAAAATTTATTTCGAATGTATCAGAATCGAACCAACAAAATTTTTCAAAATTTAAATTAAGCAAGACAAATTTCTAAAAAAAATTGTTTAAAGTTCCATTTTTAAATTTTCTTCAAGTTTAATTTAGGCAATTCATTCGAATTTAAAATGTTTGCATTATTTTTAGTTTCAATGGTTAAAAAAATTTTTAACAATAAATTATATTTTTTTAGTTTTTATTTGAAACTTTTTTAAAAAATTGGATTTAAAAAAAAAATTAAAATATTAAGAACAATAGAATTTTAAAAGGATGTTAAATTTCAGACAATAATCGAAGTGTACAGAATTGAAAATAATTTATCAAATAATTTTAGATAACGTGTATTAAAAGTAATTGAATTTTTAAAGATTGTGATTTTTGAAAATAATTTAACTAAAAGTGTATATTAATTATAATTTTTGGTGATTTCTATTGCTGAAGAATTTATCAGAAACTACAAACAATTGTATTTCAAAAGTTTAAATAAAAAATAATTAATTAATTAATAATTAAATTTTACGAAGTTTTAAATTAAAATTTTTGGTAATTTTATTTACTGATTTTTTTATTTTAAACAATTATTGAATTTCATAAAATATTTAATTGAAAAATAGTTTAAGATAATTTAATTTGTGAATAATTTCATTAAAATTATTGAAAATAATTAATTTAGAGAAGAATTTTAGTTAAAAATTTGTTAAATAATTGGTTTGAAAGGTAATAAAATTACGTTATAAATGGAACTTTATTTATGCAGTTTTGCACTAACAGCAAATTGTGTATTCTTGATGTGTGCCAAGTTTCAAACAAATTCATGTTCCCTCAGGGTGCCCGCAAGTCAGGGAAAAACTGTAAATCAGGGAAAAGTCAGGGAATTTTTAAAAATTCTTTAAAATCAGGGAATTTTGATTAAAAGAAACCACAAATTAAAAAACTTTGATACATAAATGTCAATTCAGTTTTTTTTTATTTAGATGTTTTTGTAATATAGCTCATTATAATGGTGCCGTCAGAATTTTAATTTTTCAAAGTATTTACTTTTTTTATAATAAATTTTTAAATATAATAAAATTTTGTTATTAAACAATTTTTAATTATTTTATTTTTTCCTTTATGAATAAAATTGTTACTTAAAAAGCATTATAAAAATTCCAATCAGCAATGCAGAATATTAAATAATTCAAAAGTTTTTTAGTCAGGGAAAAGTCAGGGAATTTTGAAAATAAAATTTTGCGCCCACCCTGTCCCTTTATATATAAAAAATTTACCTATAACACAGCTCATGAAGCTTTTGAAAACACAGCTTTCCATTACCATTTCAACTCGTTTTTCGTCAACTGATTTTATGTGAACTTGTCCAAGTATCCTTGGAATGACGATATTTTCACGAAATCTTTGCTGATTTCCAATAAGATTTATCATAATCTGATCCCATTCTGACAATCGTGGTTTTTCTTTTACAGATGATGTAGGCTGTGGTGGTTGAGGAAAAAACGTCCTTTCCATAGTGCTTAATATTTATATTTCATTCCTGAACAGTGATACAATTTTCTGCTAATCGAATTTATATAAAACTAACCTGCAGTAGTTAAATTAAAATTTTACTATTATGCATGTAATGAAGTTGCGATATTCTTTTAATCAAAATTATTGGGTTATTCCTAGTTTTTCTCGACTTATTTTCTCTTGTCAAATTTTAATTCATTTCATTCTAAGTCTGAATAAATCTACAAATGTCTACAAAAATTAACTATATTTTATGAAAATCATTGTTTTCAAGTTTATAATTATGTAAATTACTGTACATCATTTGCTTATAATATCACAACGTCTTTCAATAACACAGACCTGCAAAATTTATGTGTTTTATTTACTTATTTTTATGTCACTCGTTTTTAATGTATTTTTGTGCACTGAACACGATTCTGGGGTCGAAAATGACCTAGCACCTCAAGATTTTGAGAAAAGTGATTTATTTGTATTAAATAGTTATTATTTGAGTCAGTTAAATTGTATTTGTTTGCAATACAAAAATTATTGGTTCGAATAAATTTCATTTGATTCAAATAATGTTTAGTTGGTTTAACTAAATATGCAACTGATTATTTGAACGAAATAATTTTTTTACAGTCCACGTATTTTGGTATCTTTACCCCGTCTTTTCTTAAAATTCTGACGTGATAGGCAATTTTCGACCTCAGAATCGTGTTCAGTGCACCAATGTACATCAAAAACGAGTCTGACATAAAATCAAACGTGAAGATAGTATATTTTTAAAGAAATTTAGAAATGAGTTTAACTTTGTTTAAAATTAAGGTTAAGTATTTCCAGTGAAAACCATATAATATAATTAAAAAATCTAATTAAAAAATTCGTTTTATACATATAGTAAGAAAATTTCCCTTTAGTAGAACCTTGTTTAAAAATTTTTTTTAACATATGAAACAAGGAATTTTTAATTTAAAAAACATAACCTTTCTTCAAAATACAAGTTCTAGTAAATTTCCTATTTTTAAATAATTATTAAGCTTACCTGAATTATTGTTTAATTACTGTCCGAATTTAAGTTCTTTTATTATTTTATAATCAGTTATTTTTTCTAATATTTACCTTTATTAACGTTGAAAATGTTTATAACAATATCCGTTTCTGCTTTATTTTCAAAATTTTAATTCACAGGATATATATTTAAATACCGGTTATAAATAAAACGAAAATATTCTTCTATATCTATATAGGTGATTTTATAAATATTACTTTGAACTTTTAGCTTTTGAAAAGTAGGTTATGGTTTTGGTTATCGGCCACTGTGTCCTTTTTTGTATGCCTTTTTATCCATTGTGCTGGAAACAATTATTACTAATAATACAGTTAAAGGCCTAAGCAGAATAGCTACGCGAACGTTGTTCAAGAGATAGAAAAGGACACATATATCTCTGTCCTCTTCTAATGCATGTATTTCGTTTGCGATCGACTTCCGCGAAGCTATTCTGCGTTAGCCCTTATTTCCATAGATTACAAGTTGTTGTAGAAACACCTTATAAATAACCTCACTTTTCTCACCGCTACTGTGGCTACTAGTTGCAATTTGCATGCGTTGTTTACATTTTGCACATGTTTAAGAAATCTATATTTTGCAATTAAATGAATGTGAAAAATGACAGAAGATCCATTAAATAATGTCAATTTTTCATGGACGATTGTTAAAAGCACAATCTCAGAACGTATAATAAATAATTCTGTAACTCACACATTTCACGATAATAAACTACTAAAACGTACTAAATTTCTAAACAAGGAATTAAGTAAATATTCACGTTTCAAAAGTTATGCTCATTATGTGAAAGTTAAAAGTGCTATTTTGAAGAAACTACCAATAGATAAAGATAGTGATTCGAATTTAAACTCTACAAAAAATAATCATAACTTGCCTTGCAATTCTCATTCTGATTCTTCCTGCTCCGACGACGAAGAATATAATCAAAGTGGAAATTCAATCACTGACAGACATTCTTCGATAACACTTAAAGATGTGACTAAGAAAAATAATTCAATTGATATCACGAGGAAAAAACGACTAGGTTTGACAATATTTTATCTTTCAGTCTTTTCCCTGGCAAAATTTTCGGATTGATGTTCAATCAACTTTTGTTAAGTATTATTCCGAGAAAATCAGTTTTTATCCGAATCAAAAATTTCAACTCAACTCAATAAAAAATTCTTTACAGATCATTGCAAATTAATCCATTTTTATTTCAAAACTCAATTTTAATCCTTTTGAATCATGCAAAGAATTCAAATTCAGATTTAGAAAAAATTAACTTAAAAATTTAATTAATTAAATTAAAAATTTAATTTCATTCCCAAATCAACGGAATGATTTGGGAAGAATATATTTAAGAAAAATACATTTTAAATTATTGTTCTTCAAAAATTAAATTACTTAATTTCAGGTAAAATTCCTATGCAATTATTTTTATTAAGGAATTACCTGCACTGCAACAGACCATATTAAATAATTAACAAAAAAAAGAGACATTCTATTTCAAAACGACCCCTTTAGCAAACAATTGCTTGTTTGAGACAATTTTTAAATAATTATTTCTCCTACTGATTAAAATCAAATTACTTTTGTTAGTCAAAATTCAATCTTTATTATTAAAAATTTAAGGGTCATTCCATTTTATTTCATCTATAGTTGTTGCGGCCTATTTTTTAGAAAAATTTGGTATTTTATATTAATGACTTTGAATATCCGTACAATTCATTTTTGACAATTATTTTATGAAATTTTTTTTATTTACGTTAAAATTTAGTTTTTAAGTTGAGTTGAACGGAAAATAGGTTAGTTTGACAGCTTTGGAAATTTTAAATAAAAGAACAGAAATAATTAAATTAGTAAATATTTTTTCATTGATATTTGTTGAAAATAGTCTAATTTACCAATGTTAATTGATAATTGTGTAAAAAAGGTCAAAATACTACGTGAAAATTAATATTCAAACTTACCTGTAAAATGTCAAAATTTGTCACATTTTATTTATATTTTCGAAGAAAGTTTATAAATATTATAAAATTCATTACTACCTAACAATAAGTACTTTCCAAGTACTTTCACATGATATGTTGGCTTTTTATTTTTATAATATAGAAATTTGTGAAATTTTACCTTGAATGTTGAACTTTACAGGATTTTATCTGATTTTGAACACTTATATCTTCGCAGGCGATTAATGAAAAAATCCCATTTTGGTTTTAAAATTTAAGTTAAATCTTCTTTATTCATCTTATCAAAATTTGGTGATGGAGAACGAGCTATTTTTTATTTTTATTCACTTTAAAAAATTCACCGCAAAATACGAATTTGAAGGTTAAAAAACAAGTATTTTTATAAATAAAATATCTCATAATTAAACCTTTTTCGTATCTCGAATTTTGAAACTTTCTTTATGCCAATATGTAACATATGATGACGCAATAATCCCTGCAAAATTTCAAGATGAGCATTTGCCCCCTTTCGGAAATACAGCGGTTCAAAGGGGGCCATGTAAAAAAAAGAACATGCAATAAGTATTATCGAAAAATAATGTTAAAAAAAAATCAGACGAAATAGTTCCTTTAAGATTTTCGTCTGCTGATTACGAATTTGAAGTCCGTTTTTAAAAATTCAAAATGGCGGATCCAATATGGCAAACGAAAATTTTAAAAATCCATCCAGTTTACTTGAAAATCGTTACTCAGGGGATTTTAGGGTAGCTGAATACAAATCTGGTATCAGTTTTAAAAAATTCAAAATGGCGGACGACTATCTTTTAAATCGATTTTAATTGGCTTCAAAATTGTTAATTAGGGGTTTTCGAGCTCGGTGAACACAAATCTGAAGGTGAACTGACATTGAAAAGCACTAAACATTTTTTGTTAGTATTCTTTTTGATTCAACATAGAAAACAAAAAGCAATCTAGAAACATTAATAGCTTTAAAACATCATTTCAAAACATATTATTTGAATGTGAGCTTAAGAATGTAATATACACTGAAAAAAAAACTAGTAGGTTTTACTACTTTTTAACTACTCTGAGAAGTACAATAGGTCCTCAACTGAATTTAAACGGCTGTATTAACTACATAAAAATAGTTAAACCAATTAAAAATGTAATTGGTAGAATGACATTTTGTGATTGTATTAACTCAATTTAAAAGTGTTAAAACAACTCAAGATTTTACTACTTAAAGTGGTTCAATCGGCTTTAAGAACATTTTTTTAGTACATTTAATAAATATTTTGCAATTGAAACTACTACTTTAAGTAGTAAATTTTACTACTTAAAATAGGAAAATAAAATTATTTTTTATTTATTATTGTTTATTATCAGTAGAATTGACTTTTTCATCCTCTCTCCTATACTGACGCTTATTTTATGCCCTAACGATTATGTACCTAACAGAGAAAATTTCTAACCGACGGGAATTGAACCCTCGACCCTAACGCTCGCTATCCGATACCTTAACCGACTAACCACGCACGCTCACTACGACAGTCTGAAAACTACTCGAAGACTACTTTCTGCTTGTCCAATTGGTAATTTAACTATTTAAAGTAGTCATTTTTTAATACTTTTATTAGTTGCTATAACTATCCTTTTTAAGTTTTGACTTGTAAATTTTTCATCTTTTAATTATATTATAAGTTGTTTAATTGCATAGTGCAGTAAAATCTACTACTTAAAGTGATAGTTTTAATTTCAAAGGATTTTTTAATTCTACGACATAAATGTTCTTAAAGCCTATTGAACCACTTTAAGTAGTAAAATCTACTACTTAAAGTAGTAGTTTTAATTGGAAACGATTTGTAAATTCTACATAAAAAATCTTCTTTAAGTTTATCGCGAATTAATTAAAATAGTAAAAATGTACTACTTAATGTAGTAGTTTTAATTACAGACGACTTGTTAATTCTACAACAAGAATTTTATTGAAGCCTATAAAATCATAGAAATTAATAAAAAATTTACTACTCAAAAAGCAGTTATATTAATTAAAGAAAATAATTCCTTTTACTACATTTCATATAACTGGTGAATAGTAGTTGATTAGATTAACTAAAAAAGTAGTTATTTTAACTATTTTCTAGTCAACTACCCAATGGTAGTTGAATTTCTCAGCAACATTTTTTTCAGTGTAAGAAAACTAATTTTAGTTTTGCAAGTCTGAAATTATTATATGATTTCAGCTTACATTCCAAAACCTAAAAACAAAAGACGAATGTAGATCATCATTTCATTTATTTCTATTCCATTCTACAAGATATTTGCATTGAATGTTTGCAAATGTGATTAAGTAAACTTAATAGAAGTTTTAAAAGCCTAAAATTATTATTATTATTATTATTATTATTATTATCGATTACATCTTGCTTTTGTTCGTTGAATTATTATCCCTTATCTTTGTTGATCGGGTTGTAGATTACATCTTGTCTTCGTTGGTTGGATTATTCCACCTTACCTTTGTTGATGGATTATTACATCTTGCTGTCGCAAGCTGGATTCGAGATTACATCTAGTCTTTATTGGATATATTGGATACGCCATTTTGAATGTTTAAAACCGGACCTTAGATTTTTAATCAGCGATCCCAAAAACCCCTGAGTAACAGTTTTCAAGTAAATTGGATGGATTTTAAAAAATGGACGTCATATTGAATTTTTAAGAACGGACCTTAGATTCGTAATCAGCGACCCCAAAAACCCCCGAATAACGAGTTTTAAACAAATTCAGTCGATTTTTTATTTTCATGCCCGCCATATTGGATCCGCCATTTTGAATTTTTGAAAACGGACTTCAAATTCGTAATCAGCAGACAAAAATCTTGAAGGAACCATTTCGCCTGATTTTTTTGAATATTATTATTCGATAATATTGCATGTTCTTTTTTTGACATGACCCCTTTTGACCCCCTGTATTTCTGAAAGGGGGCGTATGCTCATCTTGAAATTTTGCAGGGATTATTGGATCATCATGTGTTACCATTTGGCATAAAGAAAATTTCAAAATTCGAGGTACTAAAAAGGGTAATTTTTTGCCGAGGCTCATCTTTAATCCGAAACTTTCGTCGCAGTTTTATTTTGTTTTATATAAATACTTATATTAATATAAATAATATATAATAATAAAATTGTAATATTTTTCAGAAACATCAGATTCTCCTTCATCTTCAAATGTCAAGGATTCTTTCAAATTGTCTCGAGTTTCTACACGTCGCAAATCAGCCACTCAGAGCAAACTCACGTCATTTCTTAAAAAAGATGAAAGTATTTTGCACGATAAAAAAAGTTCACTGAGAGAGAAAGCAATTATTTCAAATGAAAATGAAACTGTGACAATCAATTCCAGTCGAAAGTCTCGAAAGAATTCTACTCAAATTTCTCCACCGACTAGTAATTGTAAAAGTAGAGGAGAGCAAAATAACCATGAAACCAAAACCTTAAAAACTCGAGAAGATGTTAAGAAAAATTTATCATTAATCATAAGTAATGTGGATACAAAAGATGTGACTGAAGAGAACAATCTTAACGAAAGTCATTACGATTCGGAATTGAGCCTATCAAATGCGTTAGCAGTGGCACAAAGTACACAATATCCAGACGATTCTTCTGATGAAAGTCAGAGCAAAGATTATTATAGTCAATCAAAAGATTCAGGCGTTTCTAATGCAAATAGTGTTTGTAATGGTTCCAGTGGTGATGAAACATTCGGTGAAAAAATTACAGATCCGTATTCAAGTGAAAATGAAACATTGAGGTACACTGATATTGAACAAAATTCTAACCAAAGAAAAAAGAAATCTTTAAAAATAACAGATACTCAAATATTTAACAATATAGTTAAAATTGTCGATAACAAACAAATTTCTTATAATTTTCATAAAAAAGAGTTGAAAAGTACAGAGAGTGACGTGTCTAAAGAAAATAAAATTGCATTAGAAGAGTTTAAAAGTCAAAGCAATAATGAGAAAGAGAAATCAATAGAAAATAAAAGGGAAATAGAAACAAAAGATGATAAGGAAGAAATGGAATCGAAAGATGATGAAGCACTAAAAAATGAAAATGATGAGAGTCAAATAAAAGTGATAGACGACGAAAAAGAAAAACATTTTGCCGCAGAAGAAGAAAGTGAAAGTGGAGAGGATATAGGGAAAATTAAAAAATTTATTATCAGAAAATCAGTGAATGCAAAAAATGATATCAAAAAGACCCCAAGTAAAGAAAAGTCAGACGAGTTTCAAGGTTCGGCTCAAAAACAAAATAAAGATGAAGACAGTGGCAACAATAATCGACAAATAACTGAAATCGATACAGAAGATTTTTCAAAATCTCAATGTTTAGTGGAACAAAACGACCAGGAAGTACAAGATGAAAGTGCAGAATTTTTCGAACCTAATTCTTCCGAAGATGAAAAAGAAACAGAACATCAAGAACAAGAACTCACACAAAAATACGTGAAACATAGTAGAACGGATGAAAAACGAAATTCCATTGAAAAAAGATCAGAAATGTCAAGTAGTGAAAAAGAGGAGAATAAAACAAGCGACGAGGATGACATGGAAGATACCGAATTATTAGAAAAGACACCAGCAAATTTAAGTAGTCAAAATTCTAATTTAACAGATAATTCTCAATTTAATGACAAAAATAAAACGGGAAGAAGTAGCAGTGACGAGGAAAACAAGGAAGAGAACAACTTTCTGCACAATAATCAATCTCAAGATATGATGATTTATCAATATACAAGTGACGAAGATCAGGGGAAAATATTGACGCAATTTAGAGAACGTACAAATTCAATTTCCGACGATGAAGAAATGCGACTAACTCTGGAAAATGAACAAAATGAAGACAATTTCCATAATTTAGATGATAATAAAATAACGATTGAAGAACACAAAATTGAAATTCCCGAGGAACATTCTGAAGATACAGAAATGATGTCTGCTCAATCATTAAAATGTGTTAATCAAAGAAAACGATTGAATTTAATTACTGCGATCGGAACAAGTTCATCTGACGAAGAAGTTAGCAAGAAAACAATTATTAAAAATAAAAAACATATCATTAAACTGACATCTTCTGATTCAGATAGTGAGGTAGATTCGAAAAAAATAGCACATAAGAAAAAGAAGATAAAGAAAATTGAAAAATCACTCAAAAAAGAAAGATCGAAATCAGAAGATTCAGTCAAGTCTGAATGTGATAGTCATGAAGACAATAAAAAATCCAAAAAAAAGAAGAAGAAATCGAGAGCTTCTGCAGATAATGAAGTCATTGAAGAAAAATATCATAAATCTGATAAAACAAAGAAAATTTTTAAAGAGAAATTTGTTCAAAGCTCAAGTGATTCGGAGGAAGAGGACAACAAAAAAAGAAAAAAAATAAATAAAGAGAAAAATCTTCGTGAAAACACACCAAAGAAGAACAATTCACATTTAGAAAATTCAGGTAAAATTTCTGAAGAATCTCAAGAATCCTCAAATCTGTCGCAAACAAACATTAAAAACATGGAGAAGAAAAATTCATCTTGCGAGGACGACACTGATTTTCAATCTTATGTAAAAGACGGGATTTCTTATTTTAAACAGAAAGAGGAAACATGCAAGTCTAAGAAGCAAAAAAAGTCGAAAAAAGAAAAGAATGAAATGCAACAAGAGTTGAAAAAAGTTGTCAATAAGAAAACTTTAAGCACGAGTCAAATTATCGACGAAACGCAGTCTCAAAATATCGTTGATCCTTCTCAAATTATTTCTGAACCAAGCATTCAAATCTCGATGATTGATAATAGCACAAAATCGAGCAAGTCCAAGACAGATGTTGAAATTGGGTCTCTTGACTCTAAAGTAATAAATGAGGTAAGCCATATAAAACCTTTCCTTATTTATTATTATTATTTTTAAAGTTTTAGTAAAATTTTAATTCTTGGTCTTGTTTTAAAAGTGATTTTGGAAAAAATGCAAACTGTCAAAGTTGTACGAAAAAAATTCGAAAAATTTGTAATAATTTTTCTAATAGAAAAATAATTTTTAAAATTCAAACAAATTTATTTTGATGGCTTGCGTACAATCCATTAACATTAGCAAATATAATATATATATATATATATATATATATATATATATATTTGATGATTAATTGTACATTTTTAATAGTTTGAAGCGACTCTGTCGACTGACTGACGATTGCCAACAATTAGAGACTTGTAAACAGCAACGTACCTAATAAAAGTATAAAGAGTTTCCCTAATTTCTAAATTAATTTTAGCGCATTTATCAACATATACATAGTTATTAAATAAAACATAGTTAACATTATTCAGAGTGACATAAAAGTTAATACTTATGCCCTTAAATGTAAGTTTTAACTTTCTTAAAAAAACGTAAAATTTATATTTTTTTTCAGTTGGATGACTTAATTCAAAAGGAAAATTTAATTGAATGTAATTTACCTTCGCATTTTACTGTAAACGATATTTCAGAAAATGAAGAAGTTTGGGTTTTCGAAATTCCAAAGAAGGTGTGTATATTTTGATAATTACTGAGGCAGAGTAAAACTCACATATATCAGATTTCAAAGGACTAAGAAAAATATTTGATATATGTATATCCGAGAAAACGTTACATACAATATCCGCGATATAAGCGGGAATTTGACATATGAGGCAAAATTCCTGAAATGTCCGAACAAAAAATTAAAAGTTCTCGAATTTAATCCGATACTTTTCTAAAATGTTGTCATTGTTGATGAAAGTCTAAAAATCAATTATTATTGAATTTGATAAAATAGTTTTTAAATTACTACGTTTTTAATTTTTGACTTTTGAAAAAAAAAATTTTTCAATGCACAATATTTATAAGTAGAATGCATCAAAATTGACATATTTATAATGATTTTTAAAGCTTTTTTGACGGGCTACACGTAGGTGATAACATTTTTCTTTTTTAAATAAAATTTGACATTGAAATTCAAGGTCAAAATGTTAATTTACGTATATCTCAAAATCGAATTTTTAAAAATTTTTTCAACTATCTGAATGGAAAGCTTGACTAAATTCCTACAAAACATGTAATTTTCAGAGTGGTATATTTTAAAGTTTTTGAGATATTAATAAATTAATTAATTAGTGTTTATAACAAGTGAAATATTTTACAAACAAATAAAGTTACCCTAATTCTGAAGTTAGCAATATGAGCAAACGAACCCTATATGAAGTATTTTGGGTAGGTAGATTGTTAATAAACAATTAGTTAACATTGAAATTGTTTATTAACAATCTACTTATCCAAAATACTTCATATAGGGCTCGTTGGATGCGGAATTACCTTAACTTTCAATTGGTAAGTTCAGAATTACCATAACTGTATTTGTTTGTAAAATATTTTATTTTGTACTATCAACAATCATCCAAAAACCCTACATGAAGTATTTTGGTTCAATTTTAGTTAAATAACAATAAAAAATGAAATATCTTACAAACAAATAAAGTTATCGTAAATCTGAACTAACCAATTAAAAGTTTAGGTAATTCCGCATCCAACGAGCCCTATATGAAGTATTTAGGATAAGTAGATTGTTAATAAACAATTGCAATGTTAACTAATTGTCTATTAACAATCTACTTATCCAAAAAACTTCATATAGGGCTCGTTGGATGCGGAATTACGTTAACTTTCAATTACTAACTTCAGAATTACGGTAACTTTATTTGTTTGTAAAATATTTTATTTGTTATAAACATTAATTAATTCATATCTCAAAAACTTTAAAATTTCCCAATCTTAAAATTACATGTTTTGTAGGAAATTAGTCAAGCTTTCCATTGTGATAGTTATAAAAATGTTTTAAAACTCCGATTTTGAGATATACGTAAATTAACATTTTGACCTTGAATTTCAAGGGCAAATTTTATCACCATCGTGTAACCTGTCAAAAAAGCTTTAAACATTATTATATATGTGTTAACTTTTATGCATTGTACTTATAAATATCGTACATTGAAAAAATTTTTTTTTCAAAAGTCAAGAATTAAAAACGTTGTAATTTAAAAACTATTTTATCAAATTCAATAATAATTGATTTTTAGACTTTCACCAACAATAACAACATTTTAGAAAAGTATGGATTAAATTCGAGAACTTTTAATTTTTTGTTCGGACATTTCAGGAATTTTGCCTCATATGTGGGTTTTTAAATATTTAAATATTTTTACGAACAATAATTTACATATTTAATAATTAAATTAATTTCATAATTAATTTATTTTTTGCAGGAAGTGTCGAATGATTGGATAGGCAAAAAATTTTCTTTTAATGGAACCGAATTAAAAATAGGTAATAATAATTATCAAGCGACTAGCAAAAAAATAAAATCTATGACTTGTGTTTTAAGTTCTGAAAAATCCAAGAGACCCTATAAAGCAGGTAAATTAAGTATAGTTGTTATTTTATATTAATTTATTTGTATACATTATGTACCGTTAGTTGAAATAATTATTTAATTTTTTCATAAAAAATTAATCGTAATAAAAATACTTTCTGTTACAGTTCATTTTCAACCAATTTATTCAATTTACGTCCGATCTAAAAATTCTGTAAATAATTCAATTGATGAGGATAATTCTACAAAAGTGAGTTCAGAATCCAGGAAAGATGAGGAAATTATTAAAAAAATAAAAAGGAAGCATTCTTCAAAAATCTCAAGTGTGGAAACTGAAACGCCTGAAATTAAGAAAAGAAGACTTAGTTCTTTTTCATCTGAAAATGATGATAATAAAAATGATTCAAAAATAAATATTAAGAAAAAGAAATTGTGGAGCATAAATGATTTTCTCCTCGATGAAAAACCACCTGCTTTGCCATCGAAGCATTTGAATATTCATAGTCCAAAGTGTAACATAATTTCCTCGGATGTAGAAATTACCGATGATGAGATAAAAACGAAAAAGGAAAAACTCGAGATTCAAAGGAAAAGTCCACTTATTATTACGAAAAAGAAAACTAAAATTTCCCCGAAAAAAGTGAAAGATGAGAAAACTTTTAAATCTCCCATGAAAAGGGAAAAAAGTAATATTTCCGAAGGTGTGAAAGAGAAAAATAAACAAGTAGATATAAAAATTAAAAAGAAAAATAAAGAAGAAGATGTTCAGGTGAAAAGAAAAAAATCAATCACTTGGAATGTTGAGAGTATGTCCGATGTAAAAGATGAAAAAAATGATGTGACAGAAATTTCTAAAAAATTTAAAAAATCGAAGGAAGTTGGTAAAAAGATAAAAAATATTTTGCGAGAATTCCAACCAAACAAAAAGAATGAAATCGTTACGACAGACACTTCAGATTTCGAAGTTAAGGATGTAAAAAAACGTGAAAAAAAATTATTGAAGAAAAAAGGAAGACTTTCGGAAAATTTGAATGATACTGAGAGTTCCACACAGGAGGATATTAAACCTAAAGAAGAAAAGCCGAAAAAAAGGACAACAAAATTAATTGACTTTGATCACTAAATTTTCATGTTAATAAAATATGTTTATACAATTTTAATACAATGATGTGTTGATTAACTAATAAGAATAAAATGTTTGACTATTTTTATTATTTTTTTTTTAAATTAAATTACTATATATTTATAAATTTGAAATTTACTTTTAAATTATTTTTTTTCCACTATAATTAAAAAATTCTTTCCTTCAATTGATTTTGTCAACAATTGTCAAATATAAGCCAAAAATATCCTCTCTTAAATCTCCAAGTGCTTGTACTTTATGTATTTATTATGTGATATTAATTAATTTTAATTAATAATAAATTATCTATTAATGAATAATTATTTACTTAATAACAAGAAGACATTAAAATGAATTAAAATAAAGGATTGTTCAGAGAATGATGCGAACAGACAAATCAAAACTTTATTTTTTGAGGTTCATTAAATAAAGGCCAACGCAGAATGAATTCGATTAAAGTAGTAATTTATTTATTTTCGGAAACTGAAAACTGTTGCGCGCGCATTGTTTAACCGGAGTCATTCTGCTTAAGAAATATTTTGGGGTTATGTTTAAATGTTTGACACGTTTTCCAGTTTTTCATAAACAAATGACAAACATGCATGAATTTAGTTGAAAACTATGCATATATTTTATTTTATTATTTAAAAGTCTAAAAGTAATGAAAAATAAATTTCAATAGGAAATTTAATATTTTCTTGTTATTTTAATTATAAAGTGAAGTTTTTAAAAAATTAATATGCATTCAACTTACTCGAAAACAGATGTCCTAGCAATTCGCTACGTTGATGATTTTATTTGCCTGGGTTAGTTTACATAAATTATCTTTTTACTTTTATGAGAAAATGTTAAAAAAAATTTATGTTAATAAACAAAAACAACAATTGTTATAATTCTGCTATTGACAACAACTTCTTTCTATAATAGTAAGAATTTTCGATTCTTGTACATAATTAATTTTTCTTGTATTTTTTTAGGATTGGGTACAATTTTGTACATAATTAACAAGTCTAATTATAAAGTGGAAACAAAATTAAATGTCCTTTATCCTCATAAAATACACGGTATCAAAATAGCACCAGGCAATAAATTAATTATTTTTGGAGGAAAAAGTTTAAGAATTTGCAAATTAATCATTACCGGCAATCAAATAAAGTGCGTTTTATGAAATTAATAATTAATTAAAGAATTTAATTTAATTATATCGGGTAAAGGAGCCAGTTGACAAAGAAGATTTATCGCATTTTAAAGGTTATTTCTGACTTTAAGATATTTTTAACTAAATAAATAATTCTAATCATTATTAATTAGATTTTTAATAATAATTATTATTAATTATTATTAATTATTAATTAATTTCTAATTATTTTTCTAATTCTTCTCAGTAAATCAGCTGTTTATAGAAAATATTTCAAGTCATATTATTAGGCATATCTCAACAATTGAAACCGTCTCCGTAATTGGTTTCTTTACCCTATTAGTTTTTATATAATATAATATTAGTTATATGATTAATATTTATTTGCATTTAACTGATTTTCAGAATTGAGAATGTTTCGGATATTTATTGTTTTACAGACTGGATAATTGCAGTCGAATTTTTTAGAACTGAAGATGAAATAAAATTGATTATTCTCTTTGCTCACAATTATTTATATATTTGTGATTTACTTAATGAACAACACCGCATTATATGGTGTGAGGAAAAATGCATTTTGTATCCTTCGTTGGAAGTTAAATTTTCAATTTTTTAAACTGAATTATATATATTTAATGTATTGTGTAAATATTTTTGAATATGTTTTTTTCTCCCAAGCGAGGAGGAAATAACTTGTAAATTAAGCTGTACACTTGTGTTGAATTATCCTGAATTATTTCAAGTATTGTGAATTATAATGAATTACCTTGAATTACTTTGCACTATCTTGAATTACTATATGAATTATCATAAGGGGCCTACCCACTTTAGACCGGCTAAAAAAAGGCTATTTTCATAATTTTCTTCTCAGGTTTATTTTATAAATATCAAAGTGAAAAAAAATATTTTTGATTTTTTCAATAAGTTTCTTAATTTAAAAATAATTGTTGAGCAAAATATTTTTTTAAAAAAGGGAGTGTGCGCTATTGATGAAATTTTTGGCATGGATGGTCTAAAACAAAAAATTCAAACGGTATTAGATTCAGCATGTTGATAGCTATAGCGCATATCATACCATTTTTTTATGCAAAATTGACAAAATGGCGGACATTTTTCGAAAAAAATGTAAAAATAACGTTGTCTTTTGACCGTTTTGGGACCCAGGGAAATATTTGAAATCAAAATTTTGAAAATCCCTTGATATGAGCTAGAGCAGTGGTCTTAAAGAATATGCGTTTAAAGTATGACAAGAGTGGATTGGCGTTCCAATCTTTATCATATTTTAGTATGACACTTTTGGATATGTATACTTTTAAAAAATGTAATAAAAAAATTGATTGTTTTTTTTCTTAAAGTGGGTAGCCTTTATCTGAAGTATCGTGAATTATCATTATATATAATGAAGTTGTTTCCTCCTCGCTCCTAAAAGAATTGTAATAATAACAATTATATCAATAATTATTATTTATTCTATGTTCGGAATAAAATTATTAGAAAAAATGTATTACATTTGGGACAGAAGCAATTTAAATATTTTCCTATTTAATTTAAGATAGATATGGAGGAAGCATTTTTCCTAAAAATTGTGAAAACGCCGTTGTCTTCAGTGGGACCGTATTTCAAGAAATACTAATATGGCAAGTAAATATAAATGATTGTAATGATATTAGAATTTTACACCGATTAAAGGGACACAATGTAAGTATTTTTAAATTAATGATAATTAATTATTGTAAAATTTTTTAAAAATATATTTATATTTTACTTTTTTATTAGGGTGTTGTATTTTCTGTTTTCTACGATCCACTCACAAATATTATGTGTTCTACTTCGGACGATAGAACAGTAAGATTATGGAGTATTTACGACGAAATGGGAAATATAAATTCCAGTAACGTGGAATGGAGCAATGTTCAAGTAAATCTTTTAGCCACAATGTACGGTCACACTGCTCGAGTTTGGAGAGCAATTATAAAACAAAGTACAGTTGTGAGCATTGGAGAAGTAAGTCTACATTATTTCATATAATTCGCTACAAACGAGAAAAAATTTTGTTCATGAAAAAAATATATTTCCAGGATTCGCAAATTTGTCTCTGGTCTATAAATGGTAAATTTTTAAATAAAATCCAAGCACATAACGGTTCACCCATTTGGTGCTTGGATATATCAACTGACGACAGGAGAATGATAACGGGAGCAGCTGATGGTTCTGTGTATGTTTGGCCGTTTCCATTCATAAATGAAGAGAAAAAAAATTGTACATTGGGCTCTGAAATCAACAAAACTCCAAAATTCACGTGCTTCCTTTCAGATGGAACTATTTTAGTTGTTCGTGACGACGGAGAGATAAATTTCTTTAATTCAATTACACACTGTTTAACTAAATCATTCAGTGTTTCCAATTTATCATCATATTTAGTCATTCAGTTATCGCCGGATCGAAAGCGAATCTGTTTTGCATCAAAAGATGGTTTCATTTCGATTTACGAAATAAATAATGAACAAGAATTGACACATCAAATTAACGAGAAAATTATGGACAGTAAAATATTTTCCATGCAGTGGCTGAGTAATGAGTCATTGTTATTATGCGGTTCTCTTGGACGTTTGATTATTGTCGATGTTAAGTCCGATGGTGAGAATTTTATATTTTTTAAAGTATGCAATTAATATTCATTACAAATTTATTATATTTCTTTTGTTTAAAATTTCCAAACTTAAAGCGTATTATTAATTGAATTTAACAACGACAAGAATCATTCACACATTAGGTAAATGTAATTTCTGGTAATTAAGACACAAATGAGCAATTCCATGGGATGTGATCACAAGAATTTTTGATGATTGGAGCAATTTTATTGAATCCTTGTGAATATGTTCCTTTATTTGTACAGAATGAAAGCCCACAAACGATTTTTCAAAATATCCAAAATTTTTTGAGATATCTCTAATTAAAAATTTATGTCATTTTTTTAAAAAAAAACCATGTAACTAAATATTAGTCCCAATGTCTCACATTGGGCCCCCAAAGATGAGATTTTTTTAAATCTATTTGTTTGTCAAAAAATGTTGGGCCCAATGTGAGACATTGGGACTAATATTTTGGGCACTTATACAACATGTCTGAACGCAGAATTTCATAGGGATTACGAATTTGATACTGAAAATTAGTGGTCTCAATTAAGAAAACCACTTTTTTCATTGGGCCTCGGGCCCAATTTTTTGGTTTCAAAGATGTAGATCGTTTTGTTTGGAACAACTTTTGTCTTGACCATTTTTTACGAAAATTCGTACTTTTCGAGATGTTTGCAAGTTTCCATACTATATAATGGACGTGAAAACTAAGATGCGCGCGACCCGTCGCGCCGCACGGGACGTTTTAATTTTTTTTCTCGCAAAGTTCTTGCTGTCCCATTATGAAAATTAGAGAAGTTATTCTTAACATCATAGGTAATAAGTAGAAAAAAAAATTTTTTGAAATCAAAGAGGTAGTTTTTTCAAAAAATGAATTAAACATTTTTTTGCATTTTTTCCGGGCCAAAAAAATTTTTTTTTTCATGAACTATTTTTTTCTTAAAATAGCATCTTTTTGTAAGAAATTTGAAAAAAAATTGATCTCATTTGGATAACAGGAAAAAAAGTTACATGGTTTTTTTTAAAAAATGACATAAATTTTTAATTAGAGATATCTCAAAAAATTTTGGAAATTTTGAAAAATCGTTTGTGGGCTTTCATTCTGTACAAATAAAGGAACATATTCACAAGGTTTCAATAAAATTGCTCCAATCATCAAAAATTCTTGTGATTACATCCCATGGAATTGCTCAAATACTTTGTCTACCTGCCCTCTCCCACTCCTACAGATATCAAGTAATACGTGAATGGCTCCACAATTAAATCAATAAAATATTTTTTTTTTTTTTTTAATAAATTTGAAATTAAAATATGTATTCGAAATTTGTAAAATCAAGAATCTATGAATATAGGGAAAGTGAAAATACTATATGAATATATTTTACCTGAAAGTCGAGAACGTTGGACGACTGCTGCAATTTTATATGAAAATCTAATAATCTGTGGAGACCGTATAGGAAGTGTTTTTGTCTTCAAAAAATCTCCCAATGATAAAGATTTTCAAAAACCATTGCAAACTTTTTATAAAATTCACGGCAAATTGGGAATTCAAAGCTGTTCAATTAGAGCAAATAAGTTGATAACAGCCGGACGTGATGGTCATTTAAGATTTTACGAAATACGAAACGAAAATGATGAATATTTTTTGGAATTGGAATGTTCAAAAAATATGCCAATGGATTGGATTAGTAGAATTTTTGAATTGCAAGACGATCAATTTGTGTTTGGTTTTAGTGAGGTAAGTTTTCACTTTTTTCAATTTGTGATTATTTGTAGAAAATTTTTTTGCGAAAATAATGATAAAAATTGTTACAAAAACCAAAAGAGTCATATAATAATTTTATATATAAACAATTTTTGTGTTACAGATTGATTTTATTGTCTATAGTATTTCCTTACGCAGAATATTAGTGAGAATTCCTTGTGGTGGTGGTCATAGATCTTGGGATTGTGTTATCGATGAAAATATTCTCAAATTTCTCTTCATTAAAGACAAACAAATTCATTTGCGAGTTTCTCCATTTCAAAAACTGGCTCTATGTCCTGTTGTGGTAAGCTATTGAAATTAGTATAAACACATTTGCACTTTCAACTTAGAGTGAGGTTCCCATTGCGGAAGTAAAAAAAATCGATTTTTTTATTGCATTTTTTGAAAACTATATATGTGTAGAATATGTAAAACGATTGTTTGATCCGAAGAATATTTTCGTTTCTACAGCGTCTTGATTGAACTCACCGGCGTCCCGAGCGCTGAGGTCGTAAGTTGTCCGTCATTTTGGATCCGTCATTTTGAAAATTTGAAAATTTGACATCGTATTCGTAATCAGCAACCCCAAAAACCCCCGAGTAACGAATTTCAGGCAAATTGAATCAATTTTTTTTAAAAGTAAATAAATATTACATATACTAGTGTTACTAGTGTTGCACATTTTTTTATAATTTTAATTAATAAGGAGAAGAGTTAAATGTGTTGATTTAGTTCCACTACTCTTAGCAGAGGAGTTAATAAATATTTACCTTTCACAACACTTTGCTAACTTGAAAAGTTTTACTTGCAGAGCAGGCGTTAAAGAAAGCAATTTAAATGCTATATAAAATTACATATAAATTAATTAGAAATTTTCTGATTATTTACATTTCAGGAAGGATATCATTCCAAGGAAATTCTTTGTCTCGAAAAGATAAAAACATTAAGAAATTCATTTATTTTCATTTCTGGTGGTGAAGACTGTACTCTTCGTGTCAGTCGAGGTATTCAACTAATGCCAAACAAGGGAATTGAAGACTTTCAAACTCTTAATATTATTAATGGACACATTTCTAGTGTAAAATGTTTGGCTATTTTGAATGTCGAAAATACTGAATCGTGTTGCAAGAATTTAATATTCTCAGGAGGTGGAAGAGCCCAACTCAAAGTATGGCAACTGAGTATTAAATTGGAGAATGGAGAATTTTTAAAAGAAAATTTAAGTTGTAAATTTGTCAATTCGTTCATGTTACGCGGCACTGACAAGGAAAGAAAAAAATTGAGCAAAACTTTGAAAAACAATTACGATGTCGATCCTGAAACTAGATTTATGGATATTAATGTCCACTCACTTCTTGACGTTTCAAATTCGATTTTACTTTTTGTAGCCTGTTCCGACGGATACCTCAGGTAATTTAATTTATATTAATTGGTTAATTAATTTTCAATTCATGAGCAATAAAAACGTAATTCTTCATTTTATTTGTCAGGGTACTTTCATGGAGCGCCGATTCAAAATTTAAAGTTGAAAACACTCTTAAATATAATCGTTGCATTTTGAAAGTTCATTCGTTTATGAATAAAAATAATTTAATTGTTTTAACAATGGCTACCGATGGAATTGTGAATTTTTGGGAGTTTAGTTATCTGCTTCCTAACAGTAATCGGAAAGAGATGAATACGCCTTTTACACAATGGAAAATTCATCAATCAGGCATTAATAGTTTTGATATTAAACAAATCAATAGTCATGAATATTTATTTTCCACTGGAGGAGACGACAATCTTATCAGTCTCATTTTATTTCAAATAAATCTTCTTGAAAATGGCGATCTATCAGCAAAAATTTTAATGAATAATAATTCATTCGATTGTCATTATACACAAATAACAGGTGATTCATTATCTTTATCATAAAGTTATGTTACACTTATTGTTATATAATCGTTAACATTTTTTTTATTTTCTTAACTTTATTTATCAGTTTACTATTTCTTTAACTTTTAATTTTCAATTGTAATTTTTTTTTTAAATTGAATGTTTGAATATCATTTTTTCATAGGTATCAAATTTTTTCAAGAAAACAAATTATGTAGTGTTGGTACAGATCAGAAAGTAATTATTCATCGATATTCTATGGAAAATGATGCGTTATTGTTATTAAAAGAAAATGAAATAATTACTTGCGTCTCTGACGTTCAAGGCATTACTCTATCGGAGTGTAATGAGTTAGTATCAATTGTGTAAACATTTAATTTTTATAAAATTTGAATTTTTTTGTCAAAATAAGAAGTAAAAAATTCCTGTTTCAGAGATGGCAATACATTTATATGTACATATGGAAAAGGATTTGAGTTTATCTCTGAAAGTCGATAAATATATCATTTTTATCATAAAATGTAAATACATATACAAGTTAAAACGATAATTTATAAAATAATACATTAAATACAAGAAAAATTTCTTATTGAGTAGCAAAATATTCCTCAGAAATTTTCACTGAAAATTTGAAAAAAAAAATTAAGACAGAACAAACAAGTAGTAAAATAAAAGAGTAACAACATAATGTTTTTTTTAAGAAAGCACACGGAAAAAAATATTCTTGCAGATTCTACAAAACTTTAAATACAATTTTGGATACAAGCGATAGTTTTGTCAAATATGTAATTTCATGGGTTTCACAAATTATTATATTTTGCTTCCTCTCCTCACGAGAAAGCTTTGTATTCGTGACGATTTTCGATTTTATAAAAATTGGTTATATGGGCTTATTTTTATCTAGCATGCATATATTTGAAGTTTTAAACAAATGTCCGGATGTATATGAGGCAAAATTCCTGAAATGTCCGAACAAAAAATTAAAAGTTCTCGAATTTAATCCATACTTTTCTAAAATGTTGTTATTGTTGGTGAAAGTCTAAAAATCAATTATTATTGAATTTAATAAAATAGTTTTTGAATTACAACGTTTTTAATTTTTGACTTTTGAAAAAAAAATTTTTTTTCAATGTACAATATTTATAAGTAGAATGCATAAAAGTTAACATATATATAATGATTTTTAAAGCTTTTTTGACGAGCTACACGCTGTTAATAACATTTTTTTTTAAATAACATTTGACCTTGAAATTCAAGGTCAAAATGTTAATGGCGTTTGATTTTATTAGATATTTTATTTTAAATATGACAAATAATTAACTTAATAAATAACTGATGTTATAAATAATTATTAATAACATAATGTCATACTTAATAATTCGTTAATTAATTATTTTTAACGAAAATTTGACAAAAAAAAATTGTTGGCCAAAAAAAATATTACCATTAAAAAATAATTTTTTTGTTAAATTTTTGTAGTAAAAAAATTTTTTCAAGACAATTATTTGTGACCTAAAAAAATATCACGATGAGAATATAATTAACAAAAAAAATTACTCGTAGCACAGAAAAAATTTCACCATGAGAAAATAATTTTTTTTAAATTTTATTTGTAAAAAATTTATTGGTAGTTCAAAAAAAATATCACGATGAGAAAATAATTTTTTGTCAAATTTTCTCTGTAAATAAATTAATTAACTAAATAACGTACCGTAAAACGGGGTTATTTCGCTCATTGCGGGTAAATTCGCTCACCCACTTTTATGCTTTATTTCAGCTTTAAAATAAAGTTTAATACCTTTATTACCAGGTTAAAATGTTAAATTTGTTAATAGAAATACTAAATTTTAGTTTAAATCAAATTTAAAGCAAAAAAATGGGTGAGCGACTTTACCCGCACTGAGCGAAATAACCCTGTTTTACGGTAATTATTAGTTATACTTCATTTTTTTACTACGAAAATGTAACAAAAAAATATTTTGTGGCCTAAAAAAATTATCACAATAAGGAAATAACTTTTTTGTCATATTTTCTCTCCAAAACAATTAATTCACTAAATACCGTAATAAATCGTTGATTATTTTTACTACGAAAATTTACCAAAAATTTATTCGTAGCACAAAAGAATATCACAATAAGAAAATAATAATTTTTTTTCAAATTTTCTTTGAAAAAAAAATTCGTGTTTTTAAAAAAAATTACGATGAAAAATAATTTTGTTGTAAAAATTTCTCTGTAAAAAAATTTAACAAAAAAATTATACGTAGCACAAAAAAATATTACGATGAGAAATTTACTTATTTTTAAATTTTCTCAGTAAAAAAATTATTTGTGGCCCAAATAAAATATCAAGATGAAAAAATAATTTTTTTTGTCAAAATTTCTCTGTAAAAAAAATTAATTAAATAATGAGCTTAAAAATTAGTTAATTAATTTTTTCACTACGAAAATTTAACCTGGTAATAAAGGTATTAAACTTTATTTTAAAGCTGAAATAAAGTGTTACGTCTCAAATAGAGAAATAACTAACGAAATAATATTTTATTTTATTTGTGGCCGCTCGGTGATTCAGTGAATTCCTGTTTCATTTACAGAGCGGAAGGCTCTGAGCTAAGGGTACAGGAAAGAAAGAGAATAGTGATTTTTAATGACAAAGTTACAAAATTATTTAGACAAACATTTAGAGTTATAAAATTGATCTTTGAGAGAGAGTATCCTGAAGCAACCATTCTTGAAATAAGGGGAAGTCAGCATTCCACTGTAACAAGGAATGTAAAGGTTACTACAAATTTTTATAAGGAATTAGAAAGGATTTAGATAAAAAGTATTACAACTTACCTTGAAAATTTTGATGTAAGATGTATGAAAAAGGACCACTGCTGTGTTCTAATTATGATAGGAACTTCTGGTACCAGATATAGTTTAAGAGCTCACAGGAAGGTTGACGGGCCTTGGTGATGACCACAGATCCGGAGTTCAGTTGATTGAATCAGCTCTTCTTGACGTAGAAAATTTTAACACTTGACACAGAGATTCTTCTAAGTCGAACTTGAGTATGAAATCGAGCAGAATAACAATGCTTGTACTAGATTTCGTATGTGAACTGGTACCAAATATGAAGTAGAAGTAAAGTGTATGATGAAAAGTTTTGAACTGAACTCTCCGTAAAAAAGTAGCCCTTTTATATCAAGTTTTTCATAAGGGAGTCTATATGATTCCATTGTCTTGTGTTGCTAATACTATCTCTTTCTTTTTTATTATCCACAACGAGGGTTTGTCTGATTATATTATAGAATTTAGAAAGAGCAAACCTCTGTCACGAAATCGCAGGTGTAAGCGAGAAACACTACAGTGGTAGTACATCTGATTATATTATAGAATTTAGTAAGAGCACACCTTTGTCACGAAATCGCAGGTGTAAGCGAGAAACAATACAGGGGTAGTACATGAGCATATTAGAAAGAAAAGGTCTGATTATATTATAGAATTTAGAAAGAGAAAGTCTACGTGTCGAATCGTAGCTGTTGGAAAGGGACACTCATTTATGCCCTTTTAAGGAAATACTGAATTTCTTGCTTCTAATTGTATATTTTTAGAAATACAATATGTGAACGTAGAACGATACAAAACGCAAGGGTCTTTATACATAAAAGAAAAGATGTTTGGCCACGCGACAAAGGGGCGGGAGTGTACAATTAAGTGAAAGGTATTTTAGATGCGTAACAAAAACACGGGTGTTAGTCGCAGAGACATTCAACTTAGTATTGATTAAAAAAAAAGAATTCTTATAATTTTGAATGTAAAAGTTACGGTGACGTGACACCTCCCCCCTTTAAAATTCGGAAATTAGAAATGAAATTGAATAATTTACGAATTCAGTTTTTGAGAAGAGTTAAGTTATTTGAGGGAAATGTCACAATTTTGATTATATTATGTAAAGTTTTTTAGACATCAATGTTTAAAAGACCTAAGAGAAAATACGTCATACACATAATATAGTTTCACACCTTATTCACACCAAGTTAAGATACAAGTTTATATATATTGAAAAATACATACGAATATTATTGTTAATGATTTCAAAGCTTTTCACACATATCGCATACTATCATTTTTGATTTAATAATCATACATGATTTAAAAATGACTTAATCATAGAGATTGGAATCTTATGTATAGAAACATATACAAATTTGAAATACTTTCGTAAAAGCTCACAGAATTAGTAGAAGTAGTATATAAAAAGGAATTTTAATTATATTTATAAAGACACTCATACCATGTATTATAGAAGATTTTAAGGATGTATTATTATTATTTGCTCTTTACACATTGGTTAATTTAGAATAAGATATAAGTTTTCAATACATAGTGCATACGGATATATTACATTCTGATGATGACAGAGTTCAATTATTTATTTATTTATTTTTTTTTTATTACATAAATTATACTTTTGAAATGTTATATAATTCTGTTAAAGTTTTTCATCCACATATATTTACGAAAAGGAGGAAGGCAGAGAAAAAAAAATTTCTAACATTTTCCTTTCTGAACGCAGGTATAATTTTTGAAACAGATTTACATAAGCTTATACATCCCTCCCTCCTTTAAGAGAAAAACGAGAAGCATTCGAAGTTTTGACATGAATAGAATTTACAACATTGATTTAAAGAATTTTGGCTTTAATATTAATTAATTGGATAATTTTCGTTCTTTTTTTTTTATTGTAACAATTTCTTGCTACATGATATTTTTCGAAACATTGCTCACAAGATAAACTGCATTTGCTTAATTAAAATTTTTTCTTTTTTACTCTAAGTGTCGATATATTATAATCATATTGTTTACACACTCATTGTGACATTAGTTGCAATCCTTCCTTTTATCTTTATCAATAGAATTTTTTTTAAATTTTGATTTCAATATAATCATTCCATGTTCTAAATGACATATTGCTATTTTTTAATTCCTCGACTCCGGTAATCAATATATTGGTTTAGAAAACTAAATTCGATTGATAAATTCTCCATAACACGAATTGGAAAATTTATTTATTTTTACCATGCCCGTTCATATTACCTAAAGGAATATAAGATTCTATCAGGTAACGTTGTTCTCATTTTCAAGACTACATGCTTCTCTTCTTTTTTAAAATAAATAATTTTTGAAATCGATGACATTTTTCATTTAGGCTTATAGTTTACGAGATATTTACGATTTTATCTGGCATTTTTTTATATAAATTTTCCAATATTTTGAATTTGGAAAAAAAATATTTCAATCTCGATTTACTTGTTTTAGATTTTAAAATTTCGTGTCACATTGTGGTAATCAAATTTCGGTATTGATACGAACTACAAGAAAATGAAGTTTAAGAATTTAAAAAATTGTTTTTTTTTTTTTTAATTTTTGAATATTTGAATTTAGGAAAAAAAACAAAATATTAATATGAAACTTTCTTATACGAAATATTTAAAAGAAAAAAAAAGTAAATTTTATAATGTAAAAATAGATCCTGGAAGAAAAATAGCAAATATTAATATAATGAATGTCCATAATATATTTTAATCACCTGAAACAGAAATATCTCTATATTATTATCAATTATTTAATGTCTCTTTTTTATTATATCTAAAAATTAAAATGTATGCTTAAGAGAATACTCCAGTTGTTCAATATAAAATTCGACTGATCTGTATTTATTACAGATAATTATATATTTTTTTATAATATTTATTTATTTTGTTACTGACAATGCCTTTTTTTTATTCGTATTTTAATGCTTAAGAATATGCAAAACTGGATTATTTACTTTAATAAAAAAGTTAATTGTATTAATAGAGAATTATAATTATAAGAGCAAACCCTACCGAAAGAGTGGTACTGGAATGGTACTGAATTGGACTTGGCTTGAGTTCCACTTCAGTACCACTACCTGATAACCCATAAGAAGACATTTTTAAAGTACTTTAAAAATAGTTTTAAAGGTATATAAGATCAACAAACCGTCTCTCACGATATACGTGTAAAACAGCAAAAAAAAACATAATAGTTTGTAGAAAATTTCTGTTAAGTTTGGAA